CCAAACCTCCGAGGGGGTGGTGTGGGAACAGGTGCCAGGGCAGCAACAAAGCTGGGACAGGGAGGAAAGAGCCGTCTACCCTCCCCCTCCGCCCTCCACCCCCACACATTTTGAGCCCTCTTCCTTCCTTCCACCACTCACCCAGTCTCAGAGCGGCTGTTTGCCTCGCCCCGCCCCACGCACTGCCGCACAATGCTCCCACTTTTGGAGCCGCGCCCCTGGCTGCGTTTGCCGGCCCAAGCAGCAGGGGCTTTGATGTGTTATTTGCCATCTTGGCAACAACTTCTGCAGAGGAGGGGGGGTGGGAAACAACCTCCCCCACTTTCCACTCACAAGCCTTCGCAAGGCATCCTGCTACACCTCTCAGCTGCATACCTGGGGGAGGAGGTTGGGGGAAGGAGTGGAACCCCCTCACACACACTCATGAGCAACGGGAAGCAAAAAGGGATCAGTGGGGAGGGGCCTGGGGCCGGGTCGCTCCACTTCCCCCATAATCTGTGAATGTGGGGGGGTTGGCATCTGCTACTGGTGCTAGGACCCCTACAAATCACCCCCCATCCAAGTGCAGGACCTGGGGCAGCTAGGTTAACTGTCCATAGGACACAATGGTTCAGCCCACCAGTGACCAGGGGCAGGGATAGCTCAGTGGTTTGAGCATTAGCCTGCTAAACCCAAGGCTGTGAGTTCAATCCTTGTGGAGGCTGTTTAGGGATTTGGGGCAAACATTCATCAGGAATGGTACATGGTCATGCTGTGAAGGCAGGGGACTGGACTCAATGACCTTTTGAGGTCCCTTCCAGTTCTAGGAGATAGGTGATCTCCATTATCAGCTGGCTGCTAGCATATCCCTCTCATGGTGTTTGCTGAGGGACCTCTTTGCGCACCTTCCCTGTGCTTCACCCCTTCTCTCTCTGCTCCCCAGAGAATGTGACCCTGGATCCGAAAACAGCTCATCCCAACCTCTACCTGTGTGTGAAACAGAAGTGTGTGACGTACAAAGATGAACCGCAGACTGTGCCCTCAAACCCTAAGAGATTTGAAAACTTTTTCTGCGTGCTGGGATCTAAGGGGTTCACCTCGGGGAATCATTACTGGGAGGTGGTGGTGTGGAGTCAGAAGGATTGGGCTGTGGGGGTGGCCAAAGAGTCTGTGGGGAGAAAGGGGTGTATCAATCTTACCCCAGAGTTCGGGGTCTGGGCTCAGGGGCGTTGGTGGGTTGGATGTGACTATGGAGGAGGGTATGGAGGAGGGTATGTAGGTGGGGTTGGACCATCTGCCTCCGAGCATAGAGAGGACGAGGACGAGGAGCATGAGTCAGAGCACAGGGGAGAGCATAGGGAGGGCGAGGCGGCGAATCTGCCACTAGGGTACGAGGGAGCTGAGACGATTGGGGTTTTTCTGGAATATAGAAAAGGAAAAATGACCTTTTACGAACAGGACAAGGTCACAATCATGCGAGCCAATTTCGATGGCAAGAAAGTCTTTCCTTTCTTCTACGTGGGCCCAGGAGTCCACCTCAAAGTGATTCCCTGAGACACGGAGGAAATATCCCGCAGCAACCCTCTGACATGGATTTCTTGGGTTCCCCCAGCGGCTATCCTAGCCTCAAAGTCTCTATGCCCCTGGCGGACGCCTTCACATTCCCGACAGGACTTTCCTAACTGCATAGTTGCTAATACCTCTGATTCTGCCGGGCTCCCATGTTCCTGTAGAGTTTTTTCTTGCCACGTCTCCCCTAAGGAATGGGATAGTGTAGTCGATTCACCAATTAACTGAAAAGCAAAAGATTATCAATTAATGCTATAGACTACACACTTTCCTCCCTCCCTGCCCTTGCCAGTACATTTTTCAGCAGGCTGGCCAACAGCCTGCCTGAGTCCTGGCCTGCACCAGGTCCAGGATCCACCCCCTCTGTGGCTCTGCATTTAAAGTGTATTAGGAGCCAGGCAGCCCAGCTCAGTTCTGGGAGCTCAGCTCTCACACTCCAGAGAGGGGCTGCTGCCTCCCCAGGCTCCCCTGCCTGCTGCTTCTTTACCAGAGGCAGCAGCATGGGGCGACAAGCAGCTGGTCTGTGAGGGGAGCTGGTACCTGGCGCTGCTGTCTCTGATACAGAGGCAGCAGTGTGGATGGTAGGGGGTTCCTTGGAAATGGGGCCAGAGTGCACTGGCTGCTGGCCCCACCCCTGAGGCCTATAGAATTGTCAGATAACCAATAAGAATTCAATAGGTTTGTCAACTATTCAATTAACCGATATTTAACATCCCTACCTTCCCTAGCTTTAAAGTTGGATAAGAACATAAGAACGGCCGTATTGGGTCAGACCAAAGGTCCATCTAGCCCAGTATCCTGTCTGCCGACAGTGGCCAGCACCAGGTGCCCCAGAGAGGGAGGACCGAAGACAATGATCAAGTGATTTGTCTCCTGCCATCCCTCTCCAGCCTCTGACAAACAGAGGCCAAGGACACCATTTTATCCCTGGCTAATAGCCTTTTATGGACCTAACCTCCATGAAATTATCTAGCTTCTCTTTAAACTCTATTATAGTCCGAGCCTTCACAGCCTCCTCTGGCAAGGAGTTCCACAGGTTGACTACACACTGTGTGAAGAAGAACTTTCTTTTATTAGTTTTAAACCTGCTACCCATTAATTTCATTTGGTGTCCTCTAGTTCTTCTATTTAGGGAACTAATAAATAACTTTTCTTTATCGGCCCTCTCCACACCACTCATGATTTTATAGACCTCTATCATATCCCCCCTCGGTCTCCTCTTTTCTAAACTGAAAAGTCCCAGTCGCTTTAACCTCTCCTCCTATGGGACCAGTGCCAAACCTCTAATCATTTTAGTTGCCCTTTTCTGAACCCTTTCCAAGGCCAAAATATCTTTTTTGAGGTGAGGAGACCACATCTGTACACAGTATTCCAGATGTGGGCGTCCCATAGTTTTATACTGGGGCAGTATAAAACTGTATAAGCATCAAGCTGAGGCTGGTTGGTTGGTTGGTTTGATTCTGATGGTTGTCATTTTTCAGACAAAGTTTTTGACTTTGGGTTAAAAAAGACCCACCCACCCCGATAAAAGAAGGGGCAAAAAAAGGCTTAAAATTGCTGAGAATGATTCCCTGATTTCCTGCACACACACACACACACACACACACACACACTTCAATATATTCGGGGGAGAGGAAACATTTGCTGGTTTTCTAAAAAAATAGACATTGTCTAAAAAAAATGTACTCTGTTGAAATCCACATTTTTTTCTGGGAAAAAACCCTGAATAACAGAGAATTTGTAACCAGGCTTACCTAATCTTATATAATGGTGCCAGATAAGAAAGGAATTAAACACCACAGTCAAGTTAACAAGAATCATAGAACACTGGAACTGGAAGGGACCTCGCAAGGTCTTTGAGTCTAGTCTCCTGCCTTCATGGCAGGATCAAGCACAGTCTAGATCATCTCTGATAGATGTCTCTCTAACCCGCTCTTAAATATCTCCAGTGTTGGAGGCTTTATGCCGAAACATAAACTGATAACGGGATTCTTTTAAGCCAGGGGGAGGGGAACCTTTTTTGGGTTGGGGGCCACAGACCCACAGAAAAATCAGTCGGGGGCTGCACACAAGTGAGAAACAAACAAACGAAGACACCAGAGTCTGGGGAGGGGCAGTAGATTTTGTGTAGTCCAGCCCCATAGTGGATATGTAGACTCTGTTGCTTCCTTTTATTTAGCCTATCAAAGCTTCCAGCATGAACCAGGGAAAGAAATTTGGCTGTTTACTATTTGCCCTGTTTTGCTGCAGGAGATCAGAGCTCCTGGGACCAGGAGGTGGGTCTCCACTTCTGTGTTTAATCAAATGAAATTCAAAATCAACAGAAGGCTGAAAGATCCATTCAAACCCTCCCCTCTGCTGTCCACTGGTTGCAGGGAAAATACAGGGGGAACAGAGCAGTGATGCTAAAATTCTCTCATGTACTGAATTTCCTTCTGCATCTACCCTCCTCCAGGCAATTTAGCAATCCAGGCAAAATCTGCTGTGGGCTCACATTACCAATGGTGGCAACGTTAAATACATGGGAAATGACAGTGGGGAAAAAATCGTAGATATGCACAGCACAAAAAATGTGGCCAACATCTTTTACTTCCCAGGGTTGTCCCATTAGAAGAACTGGGTCTGAAGCTTTGTCATATTGATTCTGTCTCTAATTCCAGTTCCTTGCTTTTTTGGGGGGTAGCGGGTAGTAAATTTCACTCTTAGCAATAAACTTTGTTTCCAATTCATCACATTATTGTTTCTGAATCTTTTCCCAGAACCACTCCAAAACCTAGGGCTGCATTGTTTTCCATCTTGGGTTCATAACTTATAATGTGGCAATTATTTAAGATTCATTCACTGGTCCAAATATAAAGGCCCCTGTTCTCATTTGCCCAGATATGAATGTTGTATGGCGTTAAACTGTAGCAGAGTACCATTAGACAAGAGTGGCTAGAGGAGAACGAGTAAAAATTGCTTATACAGTAGAACATCAGAATTACAGACATCATGGAAAACATCCAAATTACAGACATCATGGAAAACATGTTCTCGTGGGGTATGTCTAGACTATATGGCTCTGTCGATGGAGCCATGTAGATGAGTTTACTAGACATTTAAATAATCGCCGCTTCATTTACATCAAAATGGCTGCCGCGCTGTGCCGATTGGCTGTTTAGCAGCACAGGGGGGAGTCTGGATGCCCCACAATCGACAACGGAAGCCTTTATCAACCGCTCCGTTATGCCTCATGGGGGGTCACAAGCAATTTACAGGAGGGTTGCAGCTGGATTTGTTATTTTTCTTGAATTTGTGTCTCCCCAGCATCTCTGGACAGTACGGACAATTTTCCCCTGCTGCGTCTGGCAGGGGCGGGGGAGTGAGGAGCACTGCAGAGTCTAGTGAAGGGATAGTAGGAGGGGGCAGTTTCTGGGCGCCACGCTAGGGGGACACCAGGCTGGGTGGGAGCAGAGCGCATGCTTCTCTGGCCCACGTGACCAGCAGAGACTGGCAGCTGGCCACCTGATGCCTCCCCTATAAGCTGCAAGTCGAGGCAGCTGAGGCCGGGTGGCAGAAGCAGCTACTTTAAAAGTAAGATTGCTCCTCCGTGTTTGGCTCTGGGGGGGAGAGGCGGAGGGGCTCTCCAAGCTAAGGATGCCTGACTCAGGGGGAGTGGGGAGTGCACTGGGATGGGGGATGATAAGGGGGCCTGGGTCTGAGGCAGAGGGGAGTTCACTGGGATGGGGCTTTGGCATATTTCAGTGACATATTCAACAAGCTGAACACTCTTAATACTTCACTGCAAGGTAGTAATAATAATATTCTTGAACTCTATGATAAATTGAAAGCATTTATTAGGAAAGTTGAACTGTGGCAGAGCAAAATCTACCTTGTGAGTTCAATCCTTGCAGAGGCCATTTAGGGATTTGGGGCAAAGATTCATCAGGGATGGTACATGGTCCTGCTGAGAAGGCAGGGGACTGGACTCAATAACCTTTCAAGGTCCCTTCCAGTTCTAGGAGATAGACAATCTCCATTATTGGAAAATTCAAATGTAGACATGTTTCCTACTTTAAAACAATTTATTGGAAGCAATAACACACATATTAGTGAAGATGTGAATTTTTTTTATTTGAAATCGCCTTTCTTCTTTAAAATTTCACTTTAAGAACTATTTCTCAGATATGGATATTGAAAAATTTGATTGGATAAGGAACCTATTCGATGCTAAACTAGTAGCTGGTACACTCACTACTGCCGAGGGGGAGCAACTCATGGATATCCCTTCTGATACTGCTTTAAAAATAAAATTCTCAACAATGTCTCTCTCTGAATTTTGGATCAGGGTGCAAAATGAATACAAGAATTAAGCGAGAAGGCTATGAACTTACTGATTCCGTTTGCAACATCTTATTTGTGCGAGTCAGGGTTTTCTGCACTTGCTGCTATAAAAAGCAAATATCGATCAAAAGTAAATGTGGAACGAGAACTGAGAGTGGATAGCTCGACAATGAAACCCAGATTTCAAAAATTATGCAACAATAAACAAGCTCATCCTTCACATTAAAACAATGATTCCAAATTTGATATTTTGTATCTATTTTCAATACAAATTTAGTTGTCAAAAGTTATTGGCATATTTATTTCTTGTCCAATCCTAATCCCAATAAAATGATTAGCTTTACTTGTGGAGCAGTAAGGGTGGGGGGGTCACACAAATTCATTTAGCATTTTAGGGGGTCGCGGTATCACAAAGTTGGAGAACCCCTGCCTTAGAGATGAACAAAACATGTAGATGGTATCATGAGCTTTCTGGGCACAATCCACTTCTTCACATGTGTGGGGGCCCGTTTCCAAACCAATAAGAGAGAAAGAGAGGGGATGGGGGGAAGAAAAGGAAAAAAGGGGGAAAATATTGTCAGTTTCAGTTTCAAAATGAAGCTGATGGAGTGCTCTTAAGTAACTGGTGTTTGGTTTTTTATGTCACTAGGTTGTGGAATGCAGCAGGTAATCCAGTGAAGGTCTTTGTTTAAATCTCTATTGTAGGTTTCAAACTTTCACTGTTTTTATTGTAGCCTGGAGCAAAACCATTATCCACCTACTCTTAATCCTCACAACTGACCTAACAAACAGGGTTGGCCTTACCATGAGGCGAACTGAAGTAACCGCCTCAGGTGCCAGAGTGTGTGTGTGGGGGGGTGGGGGGGAACTAGGACCCAAACTGTAGAAAACTGTGTCTGCTGCTGGTGCATATGTAAGTAGCAGAGCAGCACCATGAGAGAAGTACAACTGGAAGAAGGCAGAATTGAGACCTTTCAAGGTTTTGGCCCAAGCAAGGAGGAAAGGGGGCATCATTTGAGCTCCTCGCCTCAGATGCCAAAATGTTGTGGGCCGGCCTTGCTAACAAATGCTTTATCTTTGCCATTGTGACCCTTGCTTGGTGCTTATAAACTGCAGAACCTCTACTAAAAGGCTTCAGAAGAAGAATATCAACTATGGGAAAGGGAGTGGTAAAGTGATTCAATAGAGCTGTCCTGGAACAGTCTTTCTTGCCTGTTTCCTATCACGTCTGCTCTTGCACATGGTGGGTGTATACAACACGCAGTCTTACTTATTTTCCGCCAATCAGAGTCTTACACTCCTTGCTTTGTTTGTTTACGGGGGCCTGTAAGCAAAGGGGAATAAAAAGCGGTGTGTGTGTGTAGGGGGGGAGGTTTCTGTTTGTCTGGATGGTGAGAGTAAAGCAGATCGCTTCAAAGTCATCCATAGGGAGAGGTTTCCGGAAGAAGGAGAGGGGGATCGATCCGTTTTCTAGAGCACTGCCAAAGAGGTTTGAATGAAGTCTGCCTAACCCTGCCCTTTTGGTTTCTCTCTCTCTCTCTCTCTCCTGTCTCCCCCCGCCATTGTAATCGTAGAGGGGTGTGTGATGGCGTGTCGGGTTTTTCCTGTCTCCTGCACCCCCATAATGGCACAAACAGACTCCACCAGCCAGTAGAATAGAGGGAGTTTATTGCTTCTCCAGGATACAGCACAGCACAGATGTAATCTGGTTACAGGAACTGGGGCTAGGAGGCCTCAGTGCCCCCCTTGAGATGGGGGGTGGCTGGGCCCTACAATCCCAGCCCCCTCCCTAGCTCCTTCTCTCCTGCTTCCCAGACCGAAACTAACTAACTCTCCTCCAGCCCTGCCCCCCCAGCCAGGGGCAGCCTTCCACCTTCCTTTGTTTCTCTCCCTGGGGGGGTAGCTGGTCAGACAGGTTTGGAGCCCCCTTTGCATAATGACTCACCTCCTGCCCTGCTGGGCCATGCTACAGACAGCAGAGGTCACCCACAGCCCACTGCCCAGCATAGCAACCAGCAAATTACCCCTAAGGGTAACTACGTCACAAGGGGTTAGTTTGGAGTACAATATTTCACAGAATGAGCAAGGTGGTGAGTGAGGCAGCCGGATCACTGCTGCACCAATGCGGGAGGGGAGGTTTGTTGGTCCCAAAAGTAGTATAAAGGGGGCCATGCGAGATGTCGAATAGAAGCTTACTGTCTGCTAATTTTATATATGCTATTCATGTAAATGTATAATGTCTGCGTGGGAAGTCGTAAGTATGTACTTTGTGCGAGTATTAAATATTTCTCTGTGATTGGGGTTTGGAACAGGTCCCATACGAAGAGAGAGTAAAAAGATTTGGACTTCCCAGCTTAGAAAAGAGAAGACTAAGCAGAGATATGATAGAGATCTATAAAATCATGAATGGTGTGGAAAAAGTGAATAAGAAAAAATTATTTACTTATTCCCACAATATAAGAACAAAGGGTCACCAAATGAAATTAATAGGTAGCATGAGTAAGACAAATAAAAGGAAGTTTTTCTTCACTCCACACACAGTCAACCTGTGGAACTCCTTGCCAGAGGATGTGGTGAGGACTAGGACTCTTACAGGGTTCACAAAAGAGCTAGATAGATTCATGGAGTTTAGGTCCATCAATGGCTATTAGCCAGGCTGGGTAGGAATGGTGTCCCTAGCCTCTGTTTGTTTGGAGGTGGGTGACAGAGGAGGGATCACATGAGGATTACCTGTTGTGTTTCCTCTCTGGGGTACCTGGCTTTGGTCATTGTCAGCAGACAGGATTTGGTCTGACCCAGTGAGGCCGTTCTTCTGTTCTTAAACTGCAGCAAAGGAGATTTAGGGTGGACATCAGGAAAAACTTCCTACCTGTCAGGATGGTGAAACACTGGAATAAAGTGCCTCTGGAGGTTGTGGCATCTCCATCATTGGAATTAATTAATAGAAAGTTAGATAGGCATGTGTCAGGGATGATCTAGATCCGTGCTGTCCAACCAGTTAGCACACTAGTCACATTCTGAAAACGTAAATCATGTTGTGAGCCAACTAGCCACCCTCAATCAGCCAAATAATCACATGTGGCTAGTGGCCAGCACTTTGAGGATGCCACAGATCTAAACAGTGCTTGGCCCTTCCGTGAAGGCTGGGGTCTGGACTTGATGGCCTCTCGCAATCTCGCCCAGTAGCAGTGCTAGAGTACTGTGGGTCCTCAGGATATGAACCACACCGTCCTGGCGAAGAGCCCAACATAGCTAAAAATGTGAATCTTTTGCCACAGGATTTTGCCTAACAAAAGTCACTACCTCACCCCGCTGTCCCTCAGCAATATTTTGTCAATTTCAGAGAGGTAGCCGAGTTACTCTATGACAGGAAAAACTTAAAACACAAGGTCTGTGTCTAGACTGGCCAGTTTTTCCGGAAAATCAGCCGCTTTTCCGGAAAAACTTGCCAGCTGTCTACACTGGCCGCTTGAATTTCCGCAAAAGCACTGACTTCCTACTGTAAGAAATCAGTGCTTTTTGCGGAAATACTATGCTTTTGCGCAAAAGTTTTGAGCAACAGGACCGGTGTAGACAGCTGAGATTTGTTTTCCGCAAAAAAGCCCCGATCGCGAAAATGACGATCGGGGCTTTTTTGCGGAAAAGCCCGACGCGTTTCTGCAAAAGCACTTTCGGAGGAAAAGCGGCCGTGCCAATCTAGACGCTCTGTTCCGAAAATGCTTTTAACGGAAAACTTTTCAGTTAATAGCATTTCTGGAAAATCATGCCAGTCTAGACGTAGCCAATGAGTAGTCTAGTTCAGTGTTTCCCAAATGGTGTTCCGCGGAACCCTAGGGTTCCGTGAAGTGAAACTCAGGGTTCCATTCTAGAGGAAATTCCATTACAATCACATGTTATGATTAAAAAACAATAATTATGAATATTAAAAGAGTTTAAAAGAGTTTCGTGACCGAATAAAATTGGGAAACCCTGCTCTAGTAGCACCTTAAAAATGAACAAACCATGTTGATGGTATCATGAGCTTTGGACTCTGGTCACGGAAGCTCATGATACCATCTGCATATTTTGTTAGTCTTTAAGGTGCTACAAGACTCTTCAGAGCGGAGGCTGCAGGGGCTCTCTGCCACTATCTAGTGGTGAGCTGGGGGAGAAGACATTAGGAGCTGATGTTGGTTGGGTAGAAACATCTGCCCTGGGTACAGGATATTGGAACTGCTTTGCCCAAACCCTCACTTTTGGATTGCAGAAGCAAAATGCAGGACAAAGTAGCTGATTGCAGGTTGCTTTGCGGCAGGGTGGGTTGGGATGGGGAATAAAGTTTCACCTTGTGTGACTCAAGGGTAGCTGCAGAGATGAGTAGTGGGGAGGGACACAAAGGGGCAAGCACCAAAGGCGGCTGCATGGCCTCTGGCAGGCAAAGCAAACATCGCATCACTTGAGCTAATTCTTCCGCCGTACGGCTGCAACAAGGCTTTCTTTCCTGCATGCTTTCAGGAAGATGGGACCCATCTTAGTCATGTCCCCAGAAATCACAGTGTCATCCCTATAGGTCAGTCTATGTAGTAGCCTGACCATTACAAACCCCCCTGTCGTGGCTGGCTTGCATCCCATGTCTGCCCACAAAAGTTGTTGTGATCCAGGACCCAGCATTTCCATGGGCTCGGAAAACATCATGCACCGTTCATTGCCTCTTTCATTGTAAAGTCAGGGCGGGATCCAAACCCGATTGGCACCTCTGGGGAAAACAACGGCTGGCTTCTCCCGTCACGGAGTCACATCAGGTGGATAGTTAGTATTCTCTTGATTTGCCAAGAGTCTTTTCCCATAGCCTGAAGCCCAGAGATCTCCCTGGTGGATCACCATTGATTTCAGTACCATTACCCCGCATGGGATAAATATGGCCCTTCTGATTAGGAGCATCTTCAGGCTCTTCTCTTTCAAGGCTCCAGGAGTCTGTAAAAATGACCTAAACAGTTCTAATAAAGCAGAACACACAAGACACTCCAGGCCATGGAACACAAGTGATATGTGAGAGGGTTTGGGGGGCACGGGCAGTGTTGCCCCAAATTTTTTCCAGATATGCGCAGAATAAATATTATCATGTGCACCGAGTCATGTGCAGATGTGCACCACCAATAGAAATACCTGCTGCCAGCTGAGGATGCTCTGCTAATCAGTTCGGTAGCACTGGACTCTCTCCTTGGAATCTGAAGTGTGTAGCTTGCAGGGAACACTGCTCATGGGGGTTCACATGACCCCAGATGGGTCACATGACCTCATATTTTATTTGCTGCAGCCCCACCCCAGATGGGTCACATGACCTCATATTTTATTTACTGAAGCCCCAGATTGGGGCGGGGAATCTTTTTTGGGTTGGGGGGGCCACTCACTCACAAAGAAATAAGTTGGGGGACAAACACCAGAACCTAGAGAGTCTGAGCTCTGGGGTGAGGCCAAAAATGAGGGGTTCAGTGTGTAGGAGGGGTCTGAGCCAGATGGGGATGCAGGAGCAAAGTGGGGGTGTGGGGTCTGGGTGGCAAGAAGGGTACAGGCGAGAAATGGAGGTGGGGGGGCTGGGTGGAAAGGGTGCAGGAGCAGGCTAGGGGTTGAGAGGTCTGGGTCATGCTGGTGTGGGGTACCCAATTTGGAGGGTGGATCTGGTTCCTGCACCTTAGATTCCCCACCCCTGCCCTAGATTTTAATTGCTGAATACAGGTGCCCTCATTCCTACCCCCCTCCCTGACTTTCCTTCCCCCCTCCCAGGGAACACCCTGCAATTAAAGGAGACTCGCCCCATTTCTGTGAAAAGGCAATTGGCACACGTCTCTTTGCTGAAGCAGAAATGGTGGGTGGGAATCTGGCATCTCTCCTCTCAGAGGTGTTTTCCTCCCTCTCTCTGGCGTCTATATAAGTCAACTGGTTTCCCGTCTGTGGGCACGGCTCTCCTTCCCCTGCTGCCCAGAAGAAGCAGGTAGGAACCTCTCCTAGCTCCTTGGCGAAAGACCCGTCACCGGAGAACAGGCCAGATTGAAGACACAGTCCAGTCAGCAAGCAGGGACCGGCCCAGAAGGCGAGACTCCCAAGGAGCTTCTGGATCTCGGCTCGGAACAGAACCTCATTCCCAGCCCCTGGAAATCGCAGCAAGGCCGCCTCTCACCGGATCCCAGCACTGGTAAGTCCCCGTGAAGTCACCAGGGGGTGATGGGAATTGGAGTGTGAGGGGGGGTCCCCTACTGCTGCATGAACATACTGGGGAAGCCCTGGCAGGGGTGAGACCCATTGGGTGCGTCTACACTGCACCCGAAGCAGTGTGGACATAGCAGGGGACTCCTTTGGCCCTGTGCAGCAAGACAAGCCTAGGATAGGATTGGGGCCGGGTCATTGTAAGTGGTTTCGTTTCGACTCACTTGGGGCCAAGAGAGGAGGGCCAGGGCCCTGTCTCTGGCTTCCTCCTTCCCCAAATTGAATTTTACTGAATATTCCTCTTTTCCGTGCTGACAAGTCTCTTCTGCGCTGAGGCTTGCCAGATGCTTTCAACAAAGATCCCGAACAAACCAAAAAATTGAAGAAAAAAAAAAAAAAAAAAAAAAAAAAGTTGCTGTGCCTTTAAATGACTGCTTGCTCCTTACTTCCTCACCCCAGCCAGATGCAGCAGGGGAAAATTGTCTCTGCCAGGCTTCCCTCTGAGGGAAACAGGAAATACCGGTATTTTCTGGGTTTTTTACCGGATGGGAGACCCGAATACTAGACAGTCCGGGAGAAAACCGGACACCTGAGAACCTTCTCTGCGCTGCATCTCTGTCAGCTCATGCACCTACCTGCTGGCTGAAAGTTGCATCTGACTGTGGAAGCGGGATGTGTGTGGGCAGGGGGACAGATGGGATGCGGAGTCCTCTGACTCCGCACCGCACCGCACACACACACACACGCACTTTGGTGACAGGGGGATAGTGGTAAAACTCAGGAAGCAGCCCTTCATAACGATTGCTCTTTTAATATTTGCGTCATGACCTGCCCAGGCTGGGTCCCCGGCCCTCCTGTTGGCCACTCACAAATACTTACCTCAAAGTTTGTAGTGAAATGAAGTGTAGCCTGTGGCTGGGCCGCTAGCGTGCCCACTCCCACCCCCAAGCGATGAGCGGGGACTGAAAGAACTGGGCTTATTTAGTTTAGAAAAGAGAAGACTGAGGCGAGGTCTAGACTATGGGGCTTTATCGGAAAAAGCTGCGCAAATTGTGCTCTGCAATTTGTGTCGTTTTTTCCAATCACTTTTCTGAAAGGCTTTGCCACAATTTGGGCCCTGCAGTAAGGTGGTGGGGCTCCTGCATGGCCTTGGGGCTAGCGCACTTGTCTGGGGAGGTCAGGGTCAGGGGTTTGAGTCCTGCTTCTGACAGGATGGGTCAGGGGTGCAGCTAGAGCAGTGGTCTCCAATCTTTTTACACCCAAGATCACTTTTTAAGTCTCAGAACAGGCAAAGATCTACTGCCCCGCCCCTTCCTTGAAGCCCCGCCTACATTACATGAGGGAATCTAATGTAAACATACTGCGCAGATGCGCAGTTCAGAGAGGGCTCAAGAGCTACTCTTAGAGCCCCTGAGATCTACCGGTAGCTCACGATCTACTGGTTGGTGACCACAAACCTAGAGGGCCTGTCTGTGGTAGGGTGGGTTCCTTAGGGGATAGGGTGCTTGCCTGGGGGGCCAGGGTTGTGGGTTCAAGTCCCACCTCTTGCAGGCCAGGCTTGGATGAGTCTAAATGGTGGAAAAGTCTCCTTTTTCAGCAGTCCCACCTCTTGCAGGCCAGGCTTGGATGAGTCTAAATGGTAAAAAAGTCTCCTTTTTCAGCAGAGTCTTTATACCTTGTGAAGGTATACAGGGCTCTCCGAAAGAATGCATTTGCTCTTCTGCGAACAAAAAACGGAAGAGCATCCGCGTTCCTTGGATGCAGCAGGGATTTTGCAGGATACTGGAGGTATCCCGCAAAAACCACGTAGTTTAGACGTAGGCTGAGGGGACAGGAGAGCAGTTTTCAAGTATCTAAAAGGGTGTTACACGGAGGAGGGAGACAAATTGTTCTCCTTGGCCTCTGAGGACAGTACAGGAAGCAATGGGCTTAAACAGCAACAAAGGAGATTTAAATTGTCCATTGGGAAAAACTTCTTACCTGTCTGGGTGGTGAAACACTGGAATAAATTGTCGAGGGAGGGTTGAGTACCAGAGGGGCAGCCTGACTCCGTAAAAGCAACGAGGAGTCCTGTGACACCTTATAGACTAACAGATATATTGGTGCATAAGCTTTCATGGGCAAAGATGCACTTCGTCAGGTGGGGGGTCGTGGAATCTTCATCTCTGGAGATATTTAAGAGCAGGTTAGACAGAGACCTGTCAGGGATGGTCTAGAACAGGGTGTTCCCTCCACCAAGAGACCAGGGCTGCAGGCCCCTACTCCTACACACCCAGCTGCAGGTCTCGCCTCCCTGCTCCAGGGACAGAGAAACACCCCTCCTCTGCCCCCTCCATGCACCAGGAACGTGACTGCTCTTGGAGCTCTGATGCCTTTTGAGTGCACAAGCAGAGGACGGTGAGTAAACGAGTGGGGTTGTGGGGTCTTTTTTTCCCCCTAGCTGTTCGGAAAGAGAGCGTCGGGCTGCAATGGCTGCTCCTGCTCCAGAATCAACCAGCTGGGAGAGCCCCAACAAACATGCTCTACATACATTCGAAGGTACAATAATTCCTATGGTTCCACTTCCGGCTCGCCAAGGCGCTGAGGGATTCTCCCTGTCTGACTAGAGGCGCTGTTGAGATATCTAATGCCGAGAAGCTCTGCCAGGGTTTGTGAGTGTCTTGTAACACTAGGGCGGAGGAGAACATCCAGGCACTGTGGGTGGTGATGCAGGTCCCCAGGCCCTCTAGCAAGCCAGCCTCTCATCCAACCTGCTTGACAACGTAGCCAGGATCCCCACGCTCCAAAGCCTGAGTCAGCAACTGAGCTTGGTAGGGCTGGCCCCGGGGTTGGCTCCACCTTCTATCTCAGCCCCTGCTCTGCACCCGGCCTGCTGGGAGTTCAATGGGGGCAACGACCCCCTCCCCCACAGTTCTTATCTGGTGGTACAAAGGCCTGGGCCAGGGAAGTCCGTGGAATTGTTCCCATAGGGAGCATGCCTCCAGCTTCCATCCTGGACACACCAGACGATCCATTGTTTACAGCCAAGCACTGAGGTACAACCGCATATGCTCCAAAACCCCAGACAGAGACCTACAACTACAAGATCTTCAACAAGCATTCTGTAAACTGCAATACCCACACGAGGAAGTGAGGAGACAGATTGACAGAGCCAGAAGTGTACCCAGAAGCCTCCTGCCCCACACACACTTTGAGCCCTCTTCCTTCCTTCCACCACTCACCCAGTCACAGAGCGGCTGTTTGTCACACACACACACACACACACACACACACGAGCAGTGGGAAGAAGGAAGGGACCACGGTGGAGAGGGGGGGCCTTGGCCCCGGTCGCTCCACTTACCCCACAATCGGTGAGTGCAGCGGCGTGGAATCTCCTACTGTTGCCAGGCCCCCGACTAATGCCCCCCACTCCGCACAGGCCCTGGGGTAGCTGGGCAAACTGTCCATAGGACAGAATGGTTCTGCCCCCCAGCAGCTGGCTGATAGCACATCCCTCCCATGGTGTCTGGGGTGGGGGGGAAGGACCTCCTTATGCTCCTTCCCCACGCATCACCCCTTTTCTCTCTGCTCCCCAGAGAATGTGACCCTGGATCCTAAAACGGCTCATCCCAACCTTGTCCTGTGTAAGAAACGGAAGTATGTGACATCGGTACACCCACCGCAGGATCTGCCCGACAACCCTAAGAGATTTGACACCGTTCCCTGCGTGCTGGGCTCTGAGGGGTTCACCTCGAGGAAACATTATTGGGAGGTGGTGGTGGGGAATCAGCGGGAATGGGCTGTGGGGGTAGCCAGAGACTCTGTGAGAAGAAAGGGATCTGTCCAGCTTACGCCGGAGGAAAGGATCTGGGCTCTGGGGCGTTGGTGGGTTGGATACGGTTCTGTCTTGGATCCACGGGTGGGGAGTGGATCATCTGCCTCCGAGCATAGAGAGGACGAGGCGCATGAGACAGAGCACAGGGGAGAGCATACGGAGGCGGCGCATTTGCTATCCGGGTACGAGGGAGCTGAGACGATTGGGGTTCTTCTGGAATATGGAAAAGGAAAAGTGACCTTTTACGAACAGGACAAGGTCACAATCATGCGAGTCGATTTCGGCGGCGAAGAAGTCTTTCCTTTCTTCTACGTGGGCCCAGGAGTCCACCTCAAAGTGATTCCCTGAGACACGGAGGAAATATCCCGCAGCAACCCTCTGACATGGATTTCTTGGGTTCCCCCAGCGGCTATCCTAGCCTCAAAGTCTCTATGCCCCTGGCGGACGCCTTCACATTCCCGACAGGACTCTCCTACCTGCGTAGTTGCCAATACCTCTGATTCCACAGGGCTTCCGTGGTCCTGCGGAGATTTTCCATCCCTTAGGGATGGAATAATGTAGTTGATTCACCAATTAACTGATAAGCAAAAGCTTATCAACTAATGCTATACATGCATTCCCCCCTCCTTGCCCTTGCCAGTGAATATTTGAGCAGATTGGCCAGCAGCCTGGCTCAGTCCTGGCTTGTACCAGGTCCAGGATCCTGGCCCACTGTGGCTCTGCATTTAAAGTGTATTAGGAGCCAGACGGGCAGGCAGCCCAGCTCAGTTCTGGGAGCTCAGCTCTCACACTCCAGAGAGGGGCTGCTGCCTCCCCAGGCTGCTGCCTCTTTATCAGAGGCAGCAGCATGGGGCGACAAGCAGCTGGTCTGTGAGGGGAGCTGGTACCTGGCGCTGCTGTCTCTGATACAGAGGCAGCAGCGTGGAGTGGTAGGGGGTTCGTTAGGTGTGGGGCTGGAGCGCACTGGCTGCTGGCCCCATTCCTGGAGACTATAGAATAGTTGAGTAGCTGATAAGAATTCATGAGGTTACTCAACTATTCAATTAACCGATATTTAACATCCCGACGTTCTAGCTTAAAAGTCGGATAAGCATCTAGCTGAGCCTGGTTGGTTTGATTCTGATGACTGACATTTTCAGCCGAAGTTTTTGACTTTGGGTTAAAAAAGACCCACCCCACTCCATAAAAGAAGGGGAAAAAAGAAGCAAAAAAATAAAAAAGGCTGAAACCTGCTGAGAATGATTCCCTGCACATACACACACACACACACCACGTCAGTATTCTGGGGAAAAAATCTTTCACTGGTTTTCTAAAAAAATAGAGATTTTCTGCAAAAAAAATATTGTTCTGTTGAAATCCACATTTTTTTACTGGGAAAAAAACCCGAATAACAGGAAACTTGTTACCAGGCTTACCTACATCTTATATAATGGTGCCAGATAAGAAAGGAATTAAACACCACAGTCAGGTTAACAAGAATCCTAGAACACTGGAACTGGAAGGGACTTCGCAAGGTCTTTGAGTCTAGTATCCTGCCTTCATGGCAGGATCAAGCACAGTCTAGATCATCTCTGATAGATGTCTCTCTAACCCGCTCTTAAATATCTCCAGTGTTGGAGGCTTTATGCCGAAACATAAACTGATAACGGGATTCTTTTAAGCCAGGGGGAGGGGAACCTTTTTTGGGTTGGGGGCCACTGACTCACAGAAAAATCAGTCGGGGGCTGCACACAAGTGAGAAACAAACAAACGAAGACACCAGAGTCTGGGGAGGGGCAGTAGATTTTGGGTAGTCCAGCCCCACAGTGGATATGTAGACTCTGTTGCTTCCTTTTATTTAGCCTATCAAAGCTTCCTGCATGAACCAGGGAAAGAAATTTGGCTGCTTACTATTTGCCCTGTTTTTCTGCAGGAGATCAGAGCTCCTGGGACTAGGAGGTGGGTCTTCACTTCTGTGTTTAACCAAATGAAATTCAAAATCAACAGAAGGTTGAAAGATACATTCTAACTCGCCCTCTACTGTCCACTGGTTGCAGGGAAAGTACAGAGGGAATAGAGAAATGATGTTAAAATTCTCTCATGTACTGAATTTCCTTCTGCATCTACCCTCACCCAGGCAATTTAGCAATCCAGGCAAAATCTGCTGTGGGGCTCACATTACCAATGGTGGCAACGTCACATACATGGTAAATGACTATGGGGAAAAATCGTAGATAGGAAAAGCTCTAAAAATGTGGCCAATATCTGTTACTCCCTAGGTTGTTCCATTAGGAGAACTGGGTCTGAAGCTTTGTCCAATTGATTCTGTCTCTAATTGCGATTTCTTTTTTTGGGGGGGTAGGGGAGTGGGTAGTAAATTTCACTCTTGGCAATAAACTTTGTTTCCAATTCATCGCATTATTGTTTCTGAATCTTTTCCACGAACAACTCTGAAGCCTAGGGATGCATTGTTTTCCATCTGGGGTTCATAACTTAAAATGTGGCAATTATTTCAGATTCATTCACTCGTCCAAATATAAAGGCCCCTGTTCTCACTTGCTCAGATATGAACATTGTATGGCTTTAAACTGCAGCAGAGTACCATTAGACAAGAGTGGCTAGAGAAGGACTAGTAAAAATTACTTATACAGTAGAACATCAGAATTACAGACGCCATGGAAAACAATTCTCATTCATGTTCACCTGATGCCCACGTGATACTATTTTGTCTCTGAGTCATAAAAGCCCATGTCAAAGACATTTTGAGGGAAATAAGGAATAACCACTGACTATGAAGGAATAATGCATTTTCCAGTATGAAATCACAACTCCGCTAACCTTTGGGAAAATTTGCAGGATTCGTGAACATCTCCCAGAGGCCCAACTTATCAACTCTTTGTAGCTTTCAAGGCCTGAAGGGGGCCATTACTAATTTGATCTGCTGCTAACAAAATTCTGTCCACTTATCTGTGCACCCAGCCCATGACTTCTGATGTAGCTAGAAGGAAAGGTCTCCAGACAATATCCCGACACAAGAACAATAAAGCTGAAGCATGCTCATCACTCTCATGGGGACTCCGATTTAGACTTTGTTCCACAAACCAGTCCTCTTGCTATTCATCTGTCTCTAGATATAATACTGGTACAAAAATGACTCTGTACTCTTGTAGCTAAGCATCAAAAGACAGCATTGTCTGGGGAGATGGAGATAGAACAACATAACATGACCTTAAGAATGGCCACACCGAGTAAGACAGAGGGTACGTCTAAACTACATGCCTCCGTCGACGGAGGCATGTAGATTAGACAGATCGGCAGAGGGAAATGAAGCCGCGATTAAAATAATCGCGGCTTCATTTAAATTTAAATGGCTGCCCCGCTCTGCCGATCAGCTGTTTGTCGGCAGATCGGGGCAGTCTGGACGTGCCGCGTCGACAAAGAAGCCTTTCTTGATCGGCACAGGTATGCCTCGTGAAACCAGGTTTACCTGTGCTGATCAAGAAAGGCTTCTTTGTCGATGCGGCGCATCCAGACTGCCCTGATCTGCCGACAAACAGCTGATCGGCAGAGCGGGGCAGCCATTTAAATTTAAATGAAGCCGCGATTATTTTAATCGCGGCTTCATTTCCCTCTGCCGATCTGTCTAATCTACATGCCTCCATCGACAGAGGCATGTAGTCTAGACACACCCTAAGGGCCCATCTAACCCAGTATCCTGTCTTCCAACAGCGGCCAATGCCAGATGCCCCAGAGGGAATGAACAGAACAGGGAAACATCACGTGATTCCCTGCTGCTGGCAAGCAGAGGCTAGGGACTTGATCTCTGCCCATCATCGTTCATAGCCGTTGATGGACCTATCCTCCAGGAATTTATCTAGCCCTTTTTTGAACCCTTATATTGTCTTGGCCTTTTGCAACATCCTCTGGCAAGGAATTCCACAAGTTGACTGCACATTGGATGAAGAAATATTCTATTTTATTTGTTTTAAACCTGCACCAACAGGTTGACACCAGGGCTGTGTCTACACTGGCACCCTTTTCCGGAAATGCTTAAAACGGAACAGTTTTCCATTATAAATATTTCCGGAAAAAGCGCGTCTACATTGGCAGGATGCTCTTCCAGAAAAGCACTTTTTCCAGAAAATCGTCCGTGGCCAATGTAGACGCGCTTTTCCGGAAAAAAGCCCCTATCGTCATTTTCGCGATCGGGGCTTTTTTGCGGAAAAGACTACTGTGCTGTCTACACTGGCCCTTTTCCGGGATAGCTTTTCTGGAAAAGGACTTTTGCCCAAACGGGAGCAGCATAGTTTTTCCGGAAAAACACTGACAATTTTACAGTAGCTCGTCATTGCTTTTCTGGAAAAGCAAGCGGCCAGTGTAGACAGCTGGCAAGTTATTCTGGAAATGCGGCTGCTTTTCCGGAAGAAGTGGCCCAGTTTAGACACAGCCCAACAGATAACACCAACAGCCTTCTTCTAGAAGTGAATTAAGTCATCACAAGGCCATAGGAACATCTCACTTGGGATACAATACAGATACACTGCGTCTGGGAGGACGGGTGCACATACATGCAATTGCGCTGATGCAGCTGGCATGTTAAATGTAGCAGGGTATCTCAGTGATGCTCTCATTGTTTAGTGCTGTCGAAGCAAAAGACTTCTCTATTTTAGGCAGCTAACAACCAGCTTTATTGATCAATAAGGCAGAAAGTGAGCCAAACATGACCCCAGCAGAGCTGGGCCCAGTAAGGCTGATAATACAAATCAATCCTAGAATCTTTATATCCTTAACCAAATAAGTCTGACGTCAGGGCATCCAATTACAGAAATCATCAATTAAACTCAAAAGAGAAGACTGTTATCAGCAAGAAGAAACAGGTAGTAGGGAGCGAGAGCTCCAGCTCAAAACAGCTCAATTAACGCATTCCAATAGCTCATCCTTCTGGCCTTTCTCACATCGGTGAAGAAGAGTGCATTCTCTAGTGTACATGCAGAAGCAAGAAACTTAAATGTCTTCTGTTATATGAAATGGCTTCTAGCTAAATGTGAAATGGCTTCCACAGCTCCCCCCTTTTAGCCTTAAGGCTAACTTTGAAGCCATTTTATACATTTATTTCCATCAAAGTATTTACGTACATCTCTTGTTCCTTTCTTTGCTCATGATGTTTTAACATCATGAGTTCCACATTCCTTTTGGTAAGGGCCTGTCCCGTGTTTTTCAGAATATAAGAAAAACAGCATTTGATTAACAAGAAACAGAAATAAACACAAAAGAATATAGCCAATACTAAAACTATTCCTTGCAAAATTCAAGTTCCCAGATGTCCAACCCAACCTCCTAACCAACCCCAGAGAGTCCAACTTTCCTCCTGTCTTAGGCTCACCACAGTTTTTTCAATTTCTGAGGCATCTTCCTCTACTTCCTTGCTGGTGTCCGTAATATATACACAGCATTCTATTCCCACTAAGGCACAAACCCCGCCCTTACTTGCTAGGATGTAGTCTAGGTCCATCCGGTTTTGGAGAACCATATGCCTTACTTCTCCTAGGGTATGTCTACACTACCACCCTAGTTCGAACTAGTGGAACAAGCTGTAATGGTAGTTCGAATTAGAAAGCCTAATTCGAACTACCTACTCTGTGCCGCGTGTAGCCGCAGGCACGGAGTCCGAACTACCGGGGCTTTAAAAATGGCGGTGCCCAGCAAGATGCAAATGAAGCCCAGGATATTTAAATCCCGGGCTTCGTTCGCAACTTCGGTTGCCTACATTAACCACCCTAGTTCGAACTAGGGTGGTAGTGTAGACATACCCATAGCTCCTTATTAATGGCTTGGAGAGCTTTGGTTGTGGCATTAGCTACTTTCTCGAAAGCTACTTCCAGCCTCTGAATTTCTTTTCCCAGTCTCCCCAGAGGCTAATCCTCCCCCCCTCCAGTTTTGTTAAATAAAGAGAGTTTCTATGTTTGAACACACGTGTCCTTTATTTTGTACATCAGGAAGGGGGGCTAGGGAGGGGTAAGTGGAAGGAGGTGAGGGAGGAATGGGGTACGAGCCCCCTATGGGGAGGATTGGGGTGGTTCTGCGGGCTCCTTGGGGTGGAAGCTTTCCTGCAGCCCCCTGATTGACCCCCCCCAGATGGCAGCCTGCGGCAAGTGCAGCCGGGCTGATGGCCAAGTGCTGTGATGTGCCAAGTGCGGGCACTCAGGGCCCTCCAAGCCAGGACTGCTTTGCTGTCCCTCATCGAGGTAGACAAGCAAGCGGGGAACCCTGAGAACTGTCTGTCCAGGGTGGGGGTCGGGTCCCTTTAAGCACAGCCCTCGGCTAGCCTGAGACAGCAGCTCCACGCTCTAAGTCCTAACCTGATACCCTGCTGGCACGGTTTCCGACCATCCTTAACCTTGGTTCAGGGTCCACTCAATGTGGACATGCTAGTTCGAATTAGCAAAACGCTAATTCGAACTAGTTTTTAGGTCTAGATGCACTAGTTCGAATTAGCTTAGTTCAAATTAACTAATTTGAATTAAGTTAGTTTGAATTAGTGCTGCAGTGTAGACATATCCTTAGAGTGGTGAGCGTGCTTTAGCTTTATTGTTCTTGTGTTGGGATATTTTCTGGAGACCTTTCCTTCTAGCTCCATCAGAAATCATGGGCTGGGAGCATGGATAAATGGGCAGAATTTCATTAGCAGCGGGTCAAATTAGTAACCGCCCCTTCAGGCCTTGACAGCTACAAAGAGTTGATATGTTGGGCCTCTTGGATATGTTCACGATTCCTGCAATTTTCCCAAATGTTAGAGGAGTTGTGATTTCATATTGGAAAATGCATTATTCCTTCATAGTCAGTGGTAATTCCTTATTTCCTTGAAATACCTTTGACCTGGGCTTTTGTGATGCAGAGACAAACTAGTATCACGTGGGCATCAGGAGAACATGAATAAGAATTGTTTACCCTAAGTTTCCGATGTTCTACTGTATGAACAATTTTTACTAGTCCTCCTCTAGCCACTCTTGACTAATGGTACTCTGTGTTCTTTTCCTGTTGTGCTACTGTTTAAAGCCATACAACGTTCATATCTGAGCAAGTGAGAACAGGGGCCTTAATATTTGGACCAGTGAATGAATCTTAAATAATTGCCACATTTTAAGTTATGAACCCCAGCTGGAAAACAATGCAGCCCTAGGTTTCGGAGTGGTTCTTGGAAATGATTCAGAAACAATAATGTGATGAATTGGAAACAAAGTTTATTGCCAAGAGTGAAATTTACTCCCTGCTCCCCACAAAAAAAGCAAGAAACCGCAGTTAGCAACAGAATCAATTGGACAAAGCTTCAGAGCCAGTTCTCTTAATAGGACAACCCTGGGAAGTAATAGATGTTGGTCACATTTTTTGTTCTTTGTGCATCTACGATTTTTTCCCACTGTGATTTCCCGTGTATTTGACACTGCCACCATTGCTAACGTGAGCCCCACAGAAGATTTTGCCTGGATTGCTAAATTGCTTGGGTAAGGAAATTCAGTACATGAGAGAATTTTAGCATCACTGCTCTGTTCCCCCTGTACATTCCCTGCAACTATTGGACAGTAGTAGAGAGAGTGTGATGCTCTCTACTGTTGATTTTGAATTTCATTTGCTTAAACACACAAGTGGAAACCCGCCTCCTGGTTCCAGTAATTCTGATCTCATGCAGTGAAACAGAGCGAATAATAAACAGCCAAATTTCTTTCCCTGGTTATTGCAGGAAGCTTTGATAGGCTAAATAAAAGGGGGGAACAGAGTCCACGTATCCACTATGCAGCAGGACCACACAAAATCTCATCCCCCGCCCCCAGACTCTGGCATGGGAGGAGAATGTGAGGAGTGTCTCAAGGGGGGAACAGAGTCCACGTATCCACCATGCAGCGGGACCACACAAAAGCTCATCCCCCCCAGACTCTGGCGTGGGAGGAGAATGTGAGGAGTGTCTTTGTATGTTTCTTTCTCACTTGTGTGCAGCCCCTGACTGATTTTTCTCTAGGACAATGGCTCCTGATCCTCCCCAAAAAAGGTTCCTTTACCCCTGGCTTAAAAGAATCCCATTCTCAGTTTATGTTTCTCCATAAAGCCTCCAACACCAGAAATATTTAAGAGCAGCGTAGACAGACATTTCTTGGGGATGATCTAGACAGTGCTTGGTCCTGCCGTGAGGGCAGGGGACTAGACTCAATGAACTCGCGAGGTCCCTTCTGGTTCCAGTGTTCTATGATTCTTGTCATTCTGACTGTGGGGTTTTAATTCCTTTCTTATATAGCACAATTATAGAAAATGTAGGTAAGTCTGGTTACAGATTTCCTATTATTCATTGTTTTTCCCAGTAAAATGCCGCGAGGTCCAACAGAATTTTTTTATTTTTTTATTTATTTTTTTTTTTTTTGCAGAAAATGTCTGTTTTTTTTAGAAAACCAGTGAAGGTTTTTTTCCTCCCAGAATATTGAAGTGGGGGCAGGTGTGCAGGGAATCATTCCCAGCAGTTTTCAGCATTTTTTGGCTCCTTTCCCCCTCTCCTTTTATGGGGGATGGGTGGGTCTTTTTTGACCCAAAGTCAAAAACTTTGGTTGAAAATGTCAAACCATCAGAATCAAATCAACCAGGCTCAGCTAGATGCTTATTCAACTGTTAAGCTAGGGAAGATAGGGATGTTAAATATCGGTTTATTGAATAGTCGATTAACCTCATGAATTGTTATCGGTTACTCAACTATTCTATAGTCTCCAGGGGTGGGGCCAGCAGCCAGTGCACTCCAGACCCCTTCCCAAGGCACTTGCTGCCACTGAAGCAGGGCCAGGTACCAGCTCCCCCCACAGACCGGCTGACTCTGATAAAGAGTAGCCTGGGGAGGAAGCAGCCTGTCTCTGGTGTGTGGAAGCTGAGCTCCAAGAACTGAGCTGAGTTGTCTGCCCGCCTGACTCCTAATACACTTTAAAAGCAGAGCCACAGAGGGGGTAGATCCTGGACCCGGTGCAAGCCAGAACTGAGCCAGGCTGCTGGCCAGCCTGCTAAAACATTGACTGGCAAGGGTGGGGAGGGAGGAATGCGCGTAGTCTGTAGCATGAACCGATAAGCTTTTGCTCCTCAGTTATTTGGAGAATCGACATGCTATTCCATCCCTTACGGGAGACATAGAAAGAAAAAGTTCCGCAGGAACACGGAAGCCCTGCGGAATCAGAGGTATTAGCAACTACGCAGCTAAGAGAGTCCTGTCGGGAATGCGAAGGGCGTCCGCCAGGGGCATAGAGACTTTGAGGATAGGATAGCCACTGGCAGAACCCAAGAAATCCATGTCAGAGGGGATATTTCCTCTGTGTCTCAAGAAATCACTTTGAAGTGGGCACCTGGGGCCCCGTAGAAAAAAGGAAAGACGTTCTCGCCGCCGAAATTGGCTCGCATGATTGTGAGCTTGTCCTGTTGGAAAAAGGTCACTTTTCCCTTTCCGTATTCCAGAAAGACCCCAATCGTCTTGTGCCCTGGTATCCCAAGCTTTTCCACACCCGCCCTCGGATCTCCACCGTTCCCTGCCTCATGGGGGTCATCTGCTGTAGGCTTGGGGACAGATGGTTCACCCGCCACATGTCGTTCCCAGTCAGAACCGCATCTAACCCACCAACACCCTTGAGCCCAGATCCCTTCCTCTGGGGTAAACTGGAAACATCCCTTTCTTACCACAGACTCTTTGGCCACCCCCACAGCCCACTCCGGGTGATTCCCCACCGCCACCTCCCAGTAGTGGTTCCCCCTGGTGAACCCCTCAGAGCCCAGCACGCAGGGAACGGAGTCAAATCTCTCATGGTTGTCGGGCAGATCCTGCGGTTCCTGGTACCATCTCACGCACTTGTGTTTCCAGCACAGGTAGAGGTTGGGATGACGCGTTTGAGGATCCAGAGTCACATTCTCTGGGGAGCAGAGAGAGAGAAGGGGTGAGGCGCGGGGAAGGAGCACAAGGAGGTCCCAGACAGCTTGTGCTATCAGCCAGCTGCTGGTGGGCAGAGCCATTCTGTCCTATGGCCAGCTCGCCCAGCCGCCCCAAGGCCTGCGCCTGGGGCAATTTGTAGGGGGACTGGCACTGGTAGCAGATGCCAGATACACAAGCCCCACACTCACACACCCAGCCCTAGGACCCTCCCCTCCCCAGTGGTCCCTTCCTGCTTCCCACTGCTGGTGAGTTTGCAGGGAGAAAGGGGGGAATCCCACTTCTTCCCCCAGTCCCTTTCCCGGGGATGCAGCTGAGAGGGGTAGCAGGATGCCTTGTGTAGGCGACAGGGTGACTCCCTGCCACCCCCGAACTCAATCCCAGCCATCTACCCTCCCCCCAGCTTGTGAGTGGAAAGTGGAGGAGGTTGTTTCCCGCCCCCTTGCCTCTGCAGGAGTTGCCACAAATAAACACATCAGTGTGTGGAGAGGGGAGGCGAACAGCTGCTCTGAGACTGGGTGAGTGGTGGAAGGAAGGAAGAGGCCTCACAGTGTGTGGGGGGAGGGGAGGGGAGTGTATCCTGCTCTTCCCTCCCTCTCCCACTTTTCCTGCTGCCCAGGCACCTGTTCCCACACCACCCCCTCGGAGGTTTGG